TAGGCTGTGAATTAATCAAAATTGATCACTATTTCCAAAAATGACTGAAAAAATACCAAATAAAACAAAAGTAAATGAATGCCATCCTCCTTGCGATGATGCCCTGGGCAACTGCCATAAAGTCACATCAAGAAATGCTGCTGATCATTCCAATGATCCCAAATAGACTCACATTAGGCCACATGAAAGCAACTGAACCCAAAAATATATTAACCAGTATATAACTGCACTCTCACACAACACGCCTGCAGCAACAGTTAGGACTCCTCCCTCCCTTTTAAAAGCGTTTTTGCTTCTGAGGACATTGTGGTTGTAAAACCACATGCTAGTAGTCTGGCCCCGGTGTGATCAACCAGTTTCTGCGGGAATGTGACGGCGGAACCAGGGCCAGATTAACACTTTGTTGTACCCTGGGCAACAATATTCAAGGGCTCCATCATCACGACCCAAGGATCACCATAATGTGGTCACATACAGAATATTTTACTGTAATATGCAGTAAATATACTCAATACTTGAATGCCTGACAACACGTAACCCGCCCAGAGTAACCTTTGACCCACCTCGTGTGGACTGACCAATGAGGAGAGGGTCTTAACTTGAGGCCCTCTCTTCATTGGTCAGTCTGCATGAGACTGACTCTCAACTGACGTTCAGTCGTAGGCAGCGAAGCGTTTCTGTGCAGTGCAAAAGCCCGGGTGGACAGTTTGTTTAATGTAGGGTGATCATATTTCCATTTCCAAACAAGAGGACAGGTGATCTGTGCCTATGACATCACACTATGGCAACGCCACACAAACCATGTTGGGACCCATTTTTTGTAAGAACTAAATTAATATCAGATTCTGCCAATTAAAGGGCTCTAAAACAATTCATATGTAAATATTTTGCATATTTAATGCAAAATCTAATTTTTCTGCTTTAGTGCTGCAACAAGGTTTTATTAATAATAAATTATTATACCTTTTGTTTTACTACAGCATCGGTAAGCTTCCTGTGCACAGATTATTAAGGATGCTTGTTTCAGCTGTGAGATTAGACGATAGGATCAATGAAAAAATAAGTTGTCACAAACTCCATGGAAACTTTCAGAGAATCCACAAATAGTGGCTTTCAAATGGTTTTGTTACTTTTTGCAAGTTTATAAAAGAAGCAGATGAGACAGCATGTCTGATAATTTAGTTTTTCATCTGATAATATTAGAACATGTCAGTAATGTCTGAGGGGCTTTTACAAACACCGTATAACTAACACTCCTGGAGAGGGTATGAATTACACAGAGGCTTCTGGGGAGCCCAGTTATTGGGGGGGGGGCATTTTGCCTTGGCCCCCAAAATGTCTTGAAACGGCCCTGGGTGTGTGACTGAGTTTTGAAGGTGATCTGAATTGTATCAGATGTATAAATATGACATGTGTAGAACTTATTGTTTTTTACTGGTAAAAACGTGTAGTGGTGATAACTCTACCTACATTTTACTTTTCAACACTTTGTTTTGTTTTCTTGTTTTTATTGAACTATTTTCCTGTCCTGTCTGTCTCTCATCTTCCTGCATCTCCTCTTAATTCTCCAGAAAATCTGTTGCCTGGATTCTTACCTTTTCACCTCATCAGTTACTTTTGAGCAGGTCAAAGGGATCTCCTGACCGAAAAGCGCAGAGCGCGTTTTCGATGCTGCGTCAGTGAGGTGACATCACCACAGCACAGGTGATGAGCTCCGCAGTAGCGAGCTTCAGGCACAAATAAGACAGAAAATAGAGAACATGTGCGGACAAGAACGATCGTGTGCTAATTATAGTTTTTTGGTTGCGCCACTTTGAGAATGGACAGTGCGCTGGAAGCAGCTGCCTGGATCGCTGTGCAACAATGCGGAACCGGTTCGCAGCAGCGCAAGTCTGCCGGCTCTCCCTCGCGCTGATCTGCCGGCTCTCCCTCGCGCTGATCTGCCGGCTCTCCCTCGCGCTGATCTGCCGGCTCTCCCTCGCGCTGATCTGCCGGCTCTCCCTCGCGCTGATCTGCGGCTCTCCCTCGCGCTGATCTGACTTGCTCTGGTCTGCGCGCAACGGCGGGCGGGAAGGGGGGGCGCTTTTGGAAGAGTTGTGCGACACAACGAATCGATGACGCAATTCGTTGCCAACGCTTTTAGTAATCGATTTTCATCGAATTTATCGATTCGTTGTTGCAGCCCTAGTCTGCATGCTCACAGCTTGTGTCTCCACTCAACAAAAGGATCAGATTAAAATCCAGTGGTGAGTTTTGAGCATTCTGAGTGGATTATTTGTCATCTGAAGTGTTATTTTCACAGCCACTAGACAGGACGGCTCAGCTCACCTCCCCTGAGGAGGAAAAACACAGCCATTGAACACATAAAGACTGAGTTTTTTTGAGTTGCTGCTTAATTAAAACCCAATGACAGGTCGATAGACCCTCTAGCAGCACCATAAATCTACCCTGGTATCAAGAACCCGCTGCAGCTTCAGCTGGACCGTGGACTGGCACTAAAAGTGCCGATTGGGTCCTAAGGGGGTGGGTGTGAGTGACTGTTCTGGACTGGCATTTTCCCAACAGGCTTTAATCTTCAGCTGCTCTGAATGGAGCTCAGATGAAACAATGTCTGGCATCTTTGATTCTGTGGAGCTTTGTGCTGCGTGCCTTTCATGTTGGCTGCTTCAAAGCTGCAGCAGAGCGAGCTCTAGAGACGGGCCCAGCCAGAATCGGTTTGAGTAGGCCTACTATTCTGTTAGGAGGTAGGCTGGTCCATCTGTGAGGCTGTTGCATCTGAAATCTACGGAAGCCTGTCAGCACAGGGGGGGGGGGGGGGGGGGGGGATGGGGAATAGAGCAGTATCTCGTATTAATGAGAATGCTTCTTTTTAATATGAAATACTAAAATCTTATTACAAGAATTTTTCTGATAAAATGTTGTTTAATATCCTGTAACAATGAAGTGGTTCGTAACGAGAAAACGACAACATCTAACTGGATTTTTTTTATCACATCTAGAAGGAACGGAGGGAGAAGGAGCCCCTTTATGCTTTTTTTAGGAAGCTGTAATTTTTTTCACTCATCCAGTCCTCCACCCTCCTTCCTTTAGGCAGAAGACCAGACAAGAAGGCTCAGGTTCTTCTCTGAAGCTCCTGACCTCTGACCTTTGATCATCCCCCTGCTCTTTGTCCACTACAATATGATTTTAAATATTAATGTCTAGTATTTTATTTTATTTGCCAGCCTGACCCCTTCTTTCCACCAGACATGAAAGCTTCTCAAAATGGCCGCAAAACGTACTACGCTGCAATTAGCCGCCCATACAGCGGACGGGTTCCTTTCCAATGATAGCAAAGTGCAACATTTTGGACGTGTCCCAGAAGAGAAGGGACGCCATCTTTACGTTTCGAGTCCATTTTTTACGCACTACGCTTCCAAAACACGTCAACCTCCGTAGTTTAGATCGGGCCAGACAGGAAGTCAAAAACGAAAGCAGAGTAAAACATCCTGAAACTTTCAAAATAAAAGTCACGTGCGGATAAACGTACGTCATTGCCTGTGAAACTGCTGTAGCCGACGTAAACAGAACAGAAAATAAACCACAGACCTTTTTAGATACATGCAGAGGTCTTTCTCCTTGCTTATTATGTGGATTTCTGAAATAATGCGTAGTGTTGTAATTCTCCAGTGATTTAGTGACTTTGCAGGATCAGTGGCATGGAACGCTTTCGCTCCTGTTTCGTGTCTGAAACGCTCCGAGTCGGAAGGGAGCTTGCGGGTTAAACGCCTCTATAAAGGTTACAATCTGTGGAAAGAAGAGGTAAGTCACAGATTTCTTTCTGCTACATTCCTAACAAGCTGTGAATGACAATTAAATGAATCCAAATATAAACTGGCAGCATTTATTTTATTTTATTTAACAAATCAGTCAAGATACTTGCTTTTTATTCTGTTTAAAGAATATTTGTCAGAAATCTGGTAAAAATATCATAAAGATCTACTTCATACCACACACACTAAAGTAAAATACCAGAGTGTGTGGGTGGCCTCTGCATAAGATCTACTGTCCAGAGCCTGCTGTATTATAATACAATCATCATGCATAACACATGGGATCCTGATGAGGAAGGGAGGGGGCCTGTGATGAATTCTGAACAACTCATTGAGAGGTATTCAAAATTCAAATGTCCTGACCCATCGACCCCAGTCTCCATAGAGACAGCCAGATGTTGTGTAGTGCACATCGCCTTCCTCGTTCTGCATGCAACCTTAGCCTGAGGGGGGAGTTTAAAATTGGGCATCTGTTCCCATTTTCCCCTGCGGCTGCTGAAAATATCCGAAGAGAAACAACAGAAAAGAAAAGATTACACAAAGACCCTGGCAGGAGCGTGTTCAAGAAACACGACATAACGGGTCCTCTGGAGGGACACAACTCCAACATCTAAAGCCATCCAGTGGCTAATAAAAACAACAGAAAGGGTTCAGAGCACAGCTGCTGAGATGAATCACAGTTTGGTTCCAAATGAAGCGAACTCCTGCTGAGAGAGGTGATTAAGTCCCCCACCCTTTCCCCAGGACTTTAATTAGACATGCCTGAAATGAGAGGTAAATTATGGACCCCTGCTGTAATTATGTGGCTTTCTGTTAACAAGACAGCAGCACTTATAGGAGCAGAGAACTAGAACAATAAAAAGTCAACATTTATGCACCAAAAACCTACAGAAAAATCTCAAAGGAGGGGGAATGAAGTGTTTGAAGGTGGAAGAAGGCTCGGTTTCCTGCATCTTAACTGCTGCTGCTTCCTGACCCTGCCTGCTTTCTTATCTCAGTCAGGCAAAGGTGACAAAAGATAAATTAGCTGTTATATGGAAAGTTAACCAATAACTCAAATATAAATAACGAAAAATAAGAATTAGCGGTAAACATCAGAGCTCAAGAACCCCAGCTACCACCAGGCTTTGGACCATAAAAACGGACCGCTTTGCTCCTTTAGGGCTAAATGTGACCCAGGAATCTTACCTTGACATCTGGGAGCATCTGTCGGACTTTAAACGTGGTTTTGGATCCAGTCAACATTTTCCAGCCCGATTGAGAGCACAGAGAAATAAGCGAAAACAAATATCTGGGAGTGAAAACGTTAAAACACGTCTTTAAGCTAACGGTGGTGAGGTTAGCATGAGCAGAAAAACAGTAAAACGGGAGTAAATAAAAGGTCGGGACGGTCCGCTCGCACCACCGGCTCCTCCAGCTGAGAACAAGCAAACTACTTCAGCTCTTTTCATCGCTTTCCGTTCCCTCTGACAGCATCTGGGTCCGAACCGCTCTCAAATACCCCCGGCAGCACCCGGACCCGGTTAAAGTCTGCTACCGCTACCAGACATTAATAAAACACCGTTAGTCACCGACCGAGGGACGTGTTCACACAGTTCCTCCTGCTGCTCTATTTGTTTATTCCTTCGCCATAGTGAAACCGAGTGAAACACTCTCCGGCGGAAAAAGGGGGCAACAATAACGTGGAGCTTCTTAAAGAGACAGTGCATCTAAAAACCCGCGGAGCCGTCTATGACCTGGAGTAGGGTCACGTTCACAGTGAAAGTCCACTCTTCAAGTTGAGCTACAAATTATTCTCTGAGAAAGTTTTCGTTTTCTCCTGCGTTTCTCAAAAACCTTGAATTCATCACTGCTCAACTCCAATGGTGTGAAATAGATGTATGGAACTCTAAAAATGCCCAAATAAGTTTAACCCTTTGAAGGTGAAGTTCACTTAGAAACCAACTTTCTTATTATTTTTGAAATAAAAAACCGCTGGAGCGGTTTGCAGCCGAGTGTGAAGCAGCTGGGATGAGAACCACCCTCTAAACCAGCTCCTCTAAATCCGAGACCATATGGCCTTGAGTCAGAAAAAGGGAAGGATGCCTATTCTCTAGGTCAAGGATGAGGTCCTGCCCCAAGTGGAGGAGTTAAAGTATCTTGGGGTCTTGTACATGAGTGAGGGAAAGATGGAACGCGAGATCGATAGGCGGATTGGTGTCGCGTCTGTCCGATCTGTTGTGGTGAAGAGGGAGCTGAGCCAGAAGGCAATTAAAGCTCTCGATTTACCAGTCGATCTACGTTCCTACCCTCATCTACGGTCACGACCTTTGGGTAGGGCCGGAGCTCGGCAGTAACTTCCCACGTGATTATGACACCACCCTCTGTTGCCAAGGTGCAATATTCACAAGTCAGATTTTGCGACAATATTACTACCAAGCGTGACAGCACAAGTGCCGCAAAATTCCCGCACTACTATGCTGCCATAGCGCGTTCATAAGACACACCGTGGCGGCAGTATTACGCTGATTTGCCGGCATGGTGTGTGTCTTCTAAAAATGATTACTATAAATTTGCATTCATAGACTCGATCAACTTGGCTAGCAACCAGGGAAGGCTGTGTTGTTTTAGTAGCCAGAAGAGAGCAGAGCAGGAAGAAGAAGCTAACCATTAGCATTAGCAGCTCCACAACATGGCAGAATTGGCTTGCATTATTTGTGGCAATAAAACATCAGTGTTGCATATCGAATGGAGGCAGCAAAAGAGTCATGTTGCTTTTGTCATAATGAGTATGCTTCTGCATCAGCTCCACAAGGGAGAGACGCACACGCATTGACAGATGCTTGGCTCTTGGATTTCTCCGTCTCCTGGGGAGTGTTGCAAAGTAATTCACCGCCAGGACAACAGAGGTTATTGCTGTTCTGGGGTATCATGTTATGTATCCGGCCCAAGATAGTGCATTTACTATTGTGTTTTTATACTGTTTTTTGTATTTCAGACATTCTGACAGGGACAAATTTGTCCGTCTCATTCAACGAATGTTTAGAAACGTTGGCTAAACTCTGTCAGTGCCATGGTCAGTCCTTGTGAGCCTGCTAGAGAGCCCTTGCAAGGATGGATAATGGCGTTGCATGTCTCCGCTTGAACGCAAACGCAGTAGCATAAGAATCCAAATCCTGCTTTTTCCTGCCCCACTCTCCTCTGGATGACTTCTACTTCCTTAAACAGGAGCGCCAGAGTTTTTTCCCCATAGAGACATTAACCTATACTGGACACCACAGCAAACGTATTGTAATAATGATCGAGCATGTGAGATATTTTCAGCAGCAGCATCAGTTACAGCAGTCTGTCCACGACTTCCTTTAATCCTTCACTATAAGAGTCTAAAACAAACACTGTATAGAGTGTTTACCTCAAAATATTCCTAAATCATCTGAAACTCATGAAATGAGCTTGTTTTTATCCAACCTTCACAGCAGCTAACTATTCCGATTCAACTTTATTCTAGTCACGAAACTTTTAATATAAAAAATAGGGGGGGGGGGGGATAAAAAATAAAAATTTCCTTTTCTTCCTGCATTTCAAGGCTTCTGTAGGACTTAACATGCAATCAAACCTAACCTTTTGATTTAAAAATAATTTTGATGAAATTAATAAAGCATCAATGAGGAATGGAATGTTTGCCATTAATGTTTTTAACTAATGTCTTATAATTTATTAATTAGATTTTACAGGTAGTAAAAACTGCTATGATTAAAAAATACATTTTTTATTTTATTTTATTAACAATATAGTAATTATTAACCCAGATATATGTAAACAAATGCAAAAGAGAACTATTTAATTGCTTTTCTTTGATCTATTTGTGCTAATGTTACAGCATTAAATCTGAAACAGAAAAATAGTTAAAATCTAAATTTACAAATGTGAATTTTTTAAATATTTTGCATCCAATAAAACTACTTACTACCTGTTCTAGTTTTACATTTTTTAACTTCAGGTTTTAAAAGAAGATGAGGGCTGCAGCTGCAGCTTCAGCCTTGTCTTTGTTGTCTGCTTTTGAATTTATTGTTTATTTTTGTAACATCTGTCATAAATGTGGTAGATGTTCATGCAGCCACTACCTCCACACCTGATCAGACGATGAGGAACCAGTTTGCAGGTGTGTTTAAAGGAAGAATCAGCTCTACCTTTCTCTGATCCTCTGTGGAGTCCATACAGGAAACTTTCCTCTCTTGTCCAAAACAGTTCGTAATAATGACGACCTCTTCCAGAAAGTCACAAGCAGTTTAAAGGAAATTTCTCACCATGAAGAAAAGGGAAAGTTTGAGTAATCCTGAGTGATGCTTTACTCTACTGAACAGGTTCGGGGACGGAGTCCAAGTGAACTATAATAGAGAGGTCTGGATTTGTTCAACCACATGGGAAACTGTTCAATATTGCATTAGGGGTCCGGTTTCTCTGATACATAAAACAGTCTTAGACACAGGACCTTTGCATCATCTGAGCTGGAGTTATTCACTGATGCATAATGCAGCAATGTTAAGCTAAAACACAAAGACAACAAATTAGACTTTAGAGCTGAATATGTGACAAACGGTCTGGTGTTTAAGATAGCAAATGTTTCATTTATTGTTTTACAAAGTGATTTAAAGAGGACTTTTTAAAATTTGTATTAGTTCTATGGCCAATATCAAAATCGAAGCTCTTTACACTAAATCACTCTCACATAAAGCAATTTCAGCAGTGCTATTCTGCATTTTCAGGGTTCTGTCACTTTAAGAAAACAAGTTGTAGCTGGCCACGCCCACCCATCCCCACTCAGGCTGCTATTAGCTGAGAAACTCTGATATAATTGTAGAGCTGCTGCTACTCCAAAGCAGCTGCTCTTGCATGAGTGGTGGTTCTAGTCTACTTTCCCTGTTGTGACACAAACAGGGACTTTTTGAAATGGTTTGCTTTAGGCAATGATTCCTGAAACCAAACACTGGCAGAAAACAAATGCACATCTTTTTCCATGTTTAAAGTGTTTATAGAGGCAGTAAAAACTCACGTGGCTGCACAAAAGGATGGAAAAGGTAAGTTTAGAATAGTGTGTTCCCTTTAAAAAACGTTTCCTGATAGTTGGGGTGTGTGTGTGTGGTGTTACAACAAAAATAACAGGTTCTTAGATAAAAACTTAAGGACAGTACTTACATAATGTGTATAATTAATGGTTTAATTAAATTTTGGGATTTTTTAATCTGATCCACCACAGTGAGCTTTTTTTCTAAGTGGAAATTCCCACATTTCCCAGTGATGAGACACACATGAACACAAATCTGCTTATTTACCTTTCTGTTATTCTTATTTTAGACTTTTCTTAAAAGTCAAGTATTTTCATCAGAGAGAAGAGTCTTATTCAAGTTTGGCTGCACGGTCGAGTTGGCCCGGTTGCTTTGCAAGGTTGCAGGTTCGAATCTTGGCCACAGCATTTCGGCATATAGTTAGCATGTTTTCTACCACAGACCAAAAATATGCATGTTGGATTAACTGGAGACTAATTTTGCCTATAGCTGTGAGTGTGTGCCTGTGAGACAGGAGACCTCTCCCCTGGTGACTGATGGAGACACACATCAGGCCCCTGAGACCCTGAGTGATAATCGGAGCTGAGTGAAAATTTGCAGATAAAGACAAAAGAGACTTTAGTTCCTTCAAATAAGATGAGAATTTATTCAAACGGTGCAAAAAAAAATCATCATTAATAACCTAACACTTAATCTGACGTTCTTTCTATCCAGATTGCACAGTCACACAGCCCTAGGGCTTCAGAGAAAAAACAGAAAGTAACAAAACAAATTACTAAGAAAAATAAACAAGTTCAAATAATGCACAAATTTGGTAAAATGGTTCGCGATTTACATGCAACGGTTCCAGTCCCATGCAAATCCAAGTGTTCCATATTTGTAGGGTTCGGCTTCCACAAAAATGACAGTGTAGTACAATATACAAAAATATACGTTGGGTCACAAAAACCTCATCCAGAGCCATTTCTCTTCTGCTTTTAAGGGAAATGAGCAGAGTCGGCCAGTAAGATTGTGTCGGGTTTTCAGAGTCGCACAAACTCAAAGAAACAGATTCAAACAGCCATAAATAAAAAGCCGACTGTGAGACATTTAGTCACGTCAGAAAGAAAGAACATCCAAATCACGTCGACTAAACTTCCCAAGGAAACAGATTTAACAAAAAATCCCACTATAAATATATATATTTTCAAATCGTCAGGTCAGTATTGAGGATATTAGTTTGCACTGAAAGAGCCTCGAGTAACAAAAGGCCCATCTGGGGGTCATAATTAACCGTAACTCCTCCCCAAATCCAGGCTCTTCCAAGCTTATTCTCCAGAATATTAAACAAAATACAATCTCACCCTTTTAAAAACACTGTAAAACTTTGGGCTTACAAAAATAACTCAGAACATATATATACAACCTCTCAAGCGCTCTTATTTTGTTAAATAGAAAAACATGTTTGCAGCCTGACGGTTGTCTGCTTCATCAAATAATAAAATAAAATAAAAACTCCGCCTGCAAGCTAACTATTACTTTGGAGAAGGGGAAAGCACACGGACACGTTTCTGTAGTTAAAACAAGTTTTTATTCCCGCGTGAAGGGAAAAGTGACATATGAACACATTCGAACACACATGCACACAGCAAATGTTTATTTATGGGGAAATTTCAATCTGCAGCAGATATATATGAACAGGTTTAGCAACCTTTTGTAATAAAACAGTGTTTTAATAAGGTTTTGGTGTGTTTTGTTAGCAGTTGTGTGACGGGCAGCAGGACCAGAGCCAACCTGTCAAAACAAACAAGACAACAGCACCCTCTAGTGGGCAAGGCAGTGGATTGCATACCGTTTTGTGCTTTTATCTAACAACCTCAAAGAAAAACTAAATTAACATAATTGTTCTAACTAGAGCTCATCACCAACTGAAGTCCACAACACGGCTTTTTATAGGGAGATAATTACAGCTCTAACTTAGCCGTAATTACAACAATAGTCAGTTTGAAGTAACACGGAAGACTCAACAAATTTAATCTTCAACTCTGAGCTTCGCATGAAAAGAAATGTGGAAAACTTTCAGTGAAAATGGGAAATTTTGCAGGATTTCAGTTAGTTTCTGGGTTCAGTAGTAGAGAAACCTGCAGGCAGTGAAGCAAGCAGAGCAAACGCTTTAAAAGGCCAACAGGAACACTTCAGTCTAAGTTTAAATAAAACTCTCCTGGTTGTGCACCAAATTCCCAGTGAACTAAACCGAAGTGTCTGCAGAGACCGGCATAGAAACGTAACTATCTATATGCATGAACATCGGGGGAAAGTGCTTGAACTGTGCAACATATGAGTGGATTTGGTGGAACAAAATTCCAAAACAAAGATCGACCTCAGCCTGAGAAATGGAACCCAGAATAAACACGCAACAGAATTCCGTTTGTGAGACGGTACAAAAATTATCACTTGAAACCAGACCGAAAACAGCTGCTATTGTAAACAAATCAAAAGGACTTTATACTTTTAAAATAAATAAATCTTATAAACATCCTAAATTAAAAATTTCAGACAACTCAGACATTTTTTTCCCTTTTTGGAGACAAACAACAAAAATTCACGTGAACATTTTGTATTTTTTCCCCAGTGTTTGGTCTAAATGTTTATTTTTTGTTCCTTTAGTTCAGAAGTCACCACCCATGGTCCTCAGGGCCTCCATCCTGCATGTTTTAGTTGTTTCTCTGCTCCGACACACTTGATTTAATAGGTGAATCACCTGATCAGCGCAGGTGTGAAGCCTGTTAATCACCAGCTGACTAAAGTCAGGTGTGTTGGAGCAACGTGCAGGGATGTGGCCCTGGAGGATCAGGACTGGACATACTTGCTTCAGCTGATGCAAAGAGCATCCAAAACAGCTCAGTGTTGCACCTCTAGCTGAAAACGAAACTTCGTCTCATCAACGCACCTGTAACATATTACACACACACCTGTAAATGCTCAGATCTACTGCTGCTCTGATGACAAAAGTCACAAATGCTGATTATTTTATTGCTTTATGCATTCAGAGTTAATGTTCTTTTGTTGACAATGACTTTTAATCCAGCAGCAGCAGCTTTGTTGCATCTAATCTGCTAAAAAATTTAAATTATGTTTGTGTATAATTTGTTTGTTTGTTAGAAAGCTTTAGTTACAGATCTGATTGGGACAAAGCCTGCAGATTCCCAGAATCTGAATTAATTAGCTAAATTCTGAATTGTAATTTGGCAGGAAGACTAAAGTTAGCCTGGATGCCTTAACCTGTGATGCTTCCTGACATTTGACCTCTTCAGAATCCAGCCATAAGTTAAAGGAAATAAGCAAAAGATTAGAATTACTAGCATTAATCGGTAGTTTGAGAAGACAGATGTGATGCTTCCAGGGGTCAGGGGTGGCAGAAGCATCCAGTAACATGAATGTCAGGTCTGTGCACAGACCCAAGCACGAGAACAGGTGCGGTGGAGACGCTTGTGCCTTTTTGGTTTGTGCTTACGTCGCTGCTCATAGTGTCTGATGTGGTGTGGAAATATGTGCATGAGTGTTCCGTACTTGTCCTGCCATTTACATTCTCTCCACTAGGGGGAGACAGCAGCGAGGCCTTCGACTCTGAACAAAGGAAAGCCTGTAGTCCACACACACACACACACACACACACACACGCACACACACACACACACACACACACACACACACACACACACACACACACACACACACACACACACACACACACACACACACACACACACACACACACACACACACACACACACACACACACACACACACACACACACACACACCTGCATAAGAGCCACAGCAAAATACAACAGAAGTGCAGTTAGTTTATTCTATGGTCTATCATGTGATACCCCCTCCCCCTCGTTTAGTGACATCACATCCAACAGGAAATGACACAGCTGTAATCATGGGGAGGGACACTGCTGCGTCTCGCCGCTAGTTTACTGAAACACAGAAAGGCCACTCTTAGTAAAGCCGCCACGCGGTCCGCTCAGAACCGGTGGATGGCCGGTTCCGTCTCCCTCTTCTTCAGCTCTTCCCTGTAGCAGTAGGAACAATAGTTCCCCGTCTCGGGGTGTCCATAGTAGGTGCAGCTGGGTGTCCGGCAGCGGCTGGACAGACCGCCCGCGCTGCCCAGCGAGTAGTGTCGGACCGGGGGCTGTCCGCTCCGAGAGTCTAGGATGGAGCTCATGTCCCGGAAGCCATTGGTGTAGCCCCCACCGGCGAGCTCGGCGCCGGGATAATCTGGCGGGTCAAACTCGGGATAGGAAGGTATGAAGCGAGACGGGCTCAGGGAGGAGGGGCCTTGGGAACTGTGGTATTGGGGGTGGGGGGGCCCCTGTGTGGTGGGGCAGTGTCGGGGAAGAGTGACGTACGAGGGCAGGCCAGGGTAAGAGGTGGCTGGAGAGCCTCCAGCGAGCTGGCGGCGAGTGTCTAAGTGGGGGTGCACGTGGTGTTGGGTCAGAGGAGGTGCAGCGGGAGGAGGTTGCTCTATGAAAGAGGGGCGAGGGATGGGCACCACAGCAGAGTACATAGAGGGACTCAAAGGGGTCGGATTGAAGGAAGGCGATAAGGTCTCACAGAGTTCCTCCTTGGCCTCGTAGGGCCGGTAGCTCAGCTCCGAAGCACAAACTACATCCTTCTTAGGAGGCTGGAGGCTGGTGGCGATGGCCTTCCGCTCTGCCTCACGGCGCTGCTGCTCCTGCTCCACCCGAAAGCGCTCCTCTGCGTCGGTGAGGTAGCGGTGGATCATCTCTTCCTGGAAGGGCTGCCGGTTGCTGGTGGTGAGGAGGCTGGCGAAGATGAACTTCCTCTCGCCCTGCATGGCGGCCCGCAGGATTCCCAGACTCACCTTTACGTCGGCGCTGTACTTGTAGTTGTCGCTCTCGGTGCTGCTCCCACCGCTGCTGCTCATGCTGCTCATCGTTCCGATGAGCCGCTCACTTCCTGAGGAAGGAGAGCCTTTCCCAGAATCCTCTGAGGCTTGGGTGGAAGGCGAGCTGTCCTTGCTGCCTTTCCGCCCCCTAAACGAGCCCTTCTTCTTCTCCCCGCCCTCCTGCTTGACACCTCCTACTCCGGTGTTCTTTCCAGTCATCAAGCCGCCCACATTTTTCTTCAGCTTGCTGCCCAGGCTCTTCCCAAAACTGCCGAGCTTGTTGGCCACAGAGTCTGCCCTCTTCTTGTCTTTATCCTTGTCCTTCTTTGTCTTGTCCTTCCCCCCAGTCCCTGCAGATCCACTGCTGGATGAACTAGAGGAGGACGAGGTGCTGTTTTTGGCCGCAGATCCACCCCCGTTTACCGCTGAGGTGGTGGTCGTGTCTCCGTTGCCGTTGGAGCTGCTGCTGACCGACTCCTTGTCTGACTCCCCTGAGTCGGGAGGCGTTCGAGCGTCCTCTCCTGCTGAAGCTGTGGGCGACTCCGGTTGGGCCAGAGGAGCTTGCTGCAGGAAAACAAGGTTTCACATTTAAAACTTCAGCTCATGAAAACACAAAACTAAAAATGAAAACATGGACTTTGCAGGTATAATAAAATAAATAAAACATTTATTTTTCAGAATGTTGGGATGACCTGCATCAGAAACGTTAGCTCTTAGCAGGATGTAGATCGTTTCAGCAGTACATCTGTGGTTTTCTACATCCGGTAGAATCAGTAAACAGTTTCCTTAAATTACATTTCAGCACCAGATTCTCTGAAGCCCCACTAGTCCCCGCAGCACCACCCTGAAGTTTGTTCTTCTGAGCTTCCCAGGTGCGAACATGGGACACTAGAGGAGCTTTGTCACAGTGTTAGCGTGGCGGAGCCGTCCGACACCAACAGCCTGCTGCAGTTTGTTTTCTCATGTGTGTTTGGCGCAGCTGCCAGAGGGCAACGCAACAACAATGCAAACTCACCATCCTAAACTCAGGAGTACAGACAATTGTACTGCTACTTATACATTTTTGTACTGTTTCTGGATGATTGGACTTACCTCACATGGAAGTGGCAACCAGGTGACAGTCAGGTAGGTGTGCAGCATCTGGAGTTTGGCCTCCAGAGAAAGCGCCACACTGGGTAAAATAGGATAAAAAATAACCGAGTTAGGGCAAAATCTCCATCAGAGACAGGTCTGTGAATCTTTTTTAAGCAACCCTAGGTCTCTCGGTGACTATAATCCAGGAAACCCATAAGGAGACCCCTGATAGATGTGGAGTAAAGGAGGATTGGTTAGTCATGAATGCCGACAAAAACACTCGTGTAATCAATACATTTGCAGGAATCTCTGGTAGGAATGAATGTCTTGTGAGTTGTACTCTGGGGAAAAAGAGATCCGGTGCGCTGCATCAGATGGCGGGATATGGACTATTATTTCCTGATATTTGGACATCTCTCCTCTGGTTGGCGACAGCACCGTGACTCTACCACTGACTGTTTGCTTTGAAACGTTGAAGTTTTCTCCACAAATAACGCAAGCCTGGAGGAGTTCTGCTGTGTGGTGGAGTTGCTAATGCTAACGGTTAGCTTCTACTAGTAGAAACATTCTCCAAACGAACAACAGCTTTCCCCGTCACGAGTCGAGTTAAAGTGTTTCATAGATCTGTCAGGACTTTCTAGAGTTTCACCGTCTATTTTCTATCAGAAGCTAATGCAGGAGACAGGTGTGGCAGGCAGTTTTTATGGTCAGCTTGCATGAAAAACTCAGTGACTGATTATTATCAGAAATGATTAAAAAAATGTTTTCAGTGAACAAAAAAAAATTGAAAGAAAGAAAAGTTGTGTTATACTCTGTATTCCTGGTGCGTTTTTATTCCAGAGGACTTTTAACTTCATGACCTTTACCCCAGTTTCCCATTGGAAGCATCAGAGACGTAAAATGGCAGCGGAACGATTTGCTCGTGAACTTCAAAGCGGCCCATTTCACACCGGGAGAGTCTTGGCCCGCTGTACGGCTTCCTCACTGTGCTCTTTGCTGGACTCGTGAGATCACAAAATCCCTCGAGACTTTAAAGCTCATAATTTGTTTATGCAGTCCGTCATTAACCCAAAAAGAAGGAAATGATGTTTGATACCGCTCTTTTGAGGCAGCAGTGGCTCAGGTGGTAGAGTAGGGTCGATTCCAGCTCCCGCCAGGGATATTCCGCTGTTGTGTCCTTGGGCAAGACACTTCACCCAACTTGCCTGTGTTGGTGGTGGTCAGAGGGGCCGACAGCGCCAAATGGCTGTCTCGCCTCTGTCAGATTGCCCCAGGGTGGCTGTGGCTACATAGTAGCTTACCATCACTGGCAGTGTGTGAATGTGAGAGTGCATGAAAGCATCTTTGAATGTCCTAAAAAGCGCTACCTATACAAGTTTGATGTACTTAAATTTTTTTATGTCAAATACGATTTGATTGATTTGACGTTGCTCCTCTCCACTGTCAGGATTAATGCCACAAAAAACCCACTGCTGCACTTCTGGAACGATACCGGGAGTAAATAAGCCATTGCTTCATTTACTTAAAACTGCATCGCTGAAGTACTTTTATTTTGATAAAATAATAAAATAAAGATCTTTTATTTTGGTAAAAATAATAAAATAAAGTACTTCTATTTGGATAAAAATAATAAAATAAAGTACTTCTATTTGGAAAATTACCAGGGCTTTTATACTGAAACCGTGTGTGATTTCCTGTCTAACCCTATGTGAACTGTGGAAATCGACGCGCCTCAGAAGGGGCTAGTGGCAGAAATAGAACCCGATCATATCTTTTGCGGCATGGCGCACGGCTTCTGGGATGCGCCTGAAAATTGCTGCATTGAGGCTGGTTTGAAACACTCCATAGATTATAATGCATTTTATTTGAAGCAGTGACGTTCCGCTGCCGTTGCGCACCGCTGATGCGTTCAGTGTGAAACCGGGGTTATAAACGAGATTAGGAGCCACTTCTTTTCCAACTATCTCCTTTAAATAAGAGGTCTGACATCAGCTGCTGAGTTAGACGAAAATTTTCCACGACGCCGGTATTCCTGGTGCTTAATTCACAGAAGGTGTTTAGAACCAATCTTACTGTGAGTGCCACTGATCTGGGATCAGAGGTCAATCCTGACCTTGACAGCTGCCTCCAGACATTCACACCAGTGAACACATGAGATTTACACGTTTATTTATATTGTTTGTGAGTGCTCTATAAAAAGTTTAAGAGCACTTTCGAAGAACGTCTAGATTACAACGGGATGTCAGATTGTTGTAATTTTATTTTAACGTTACCTGGCCAGCATCATGTTGTCAGTGTCATCCTTTCCCCACTCCCAGTCCTTCCCAGGATCCACAGCAAAGTGCAGAGGCAGCATTTTGTGCTCCGAGTCGGTAAGAGGAATTACAACTAGGAGACAAAAAGAGTTGGACTGTTTTATGGGAACTTGATTTCACAAGTCGTGGTAATATCCTGATGAAGTCAGCTGCAGCAAAGACAGCAGAATAAAGCTCTGATGATTCCCTCTTAGAATAACGTAGATTGTTGGATGATGTCTCACCTTGTTCTTTGGAGCTGTCCTTCTGCTCCATGGAGACCAGTGCAGAGAAGTGAGCCTGATCGTATGCTAGGACAAGGGGGGAGCGATGGCACTTGACAGCTGGCACCTCCAGCGGTAGGTAGATGCCTCCAAATGGAATGGGAGCAAAAGCTACAGTAGAGCACAGAGGGGAATAAATGAGAGAGAAGGTCCCCTCAGCACAGATCTGTTACCAACAAAGGACATCCAATAGTTCAGGTTAAAAACAGCAACTACTAAAATATAAATAATTGGTCATAAAAAGGGTAATATCTCAGATTTATTTTAAAGAGGAAAAAAAGTTGCCATAATGTTGAAAAAAAAATCAAGTTTTTCACACTAGAAATATGATTCCCAAAAAGCTTTTAGCCCAAAAACCTTATATGGTTTAAAGCGTGTTCTTAAAAAAAAGACAAAAAACTATCAGGCATTGCAGTGTGTGTGTGTGTGTGTGTGTGTGTGTGTGTGTGTGTGTGTGTGTGTGTGTGTGTGTGTGTGTGTGTGTGTGTGTGTGTGTGTGTGTGTGTGTGTGAGAGAGAAGCAGACCATGAGGAGTTGGTTATGTGAGATTTCACTGTTTTTTAAATTTCATTGCTTATTTGATGTGTCAATATACGGCCACGCAAAATAATTGGTTCAAGCTACAGACCAAAGAACAGTTATTAATGTTGAAGAAAAATATGAAAAAATTAGTTGTGGCTCAAGACTAGCAATACAACCCTGCATTTACTTTAGACGTTTACAATTACAAGATCATTCTGACCATTTTACAGTTGCTACGCATTTAAGGGGACAACTTTTGGAAATACCCACAGTTAAATGGGAATAAATTTGAAGCTTAAAAGCTTTTGCAAACACTACTTACTCCAGTAACAACAAAGCCAGGTCACCATCAATCCGTGGTATTGCAGCATTCTTTAGCTCCCTAAAACTAGTGCAGGCCGTGCTGTTGTTCACTCTAGTTTAGCTCTTTGCTTTGCCTCCAAAGACATTACTTTCTTACTTTACTTCCAGGCACTGCTACGATGCCAACAAAAAAAAAAGGCAAAGTTCTTCTTCTTGTGTTTTTAAATAACGATTAGCAAACTTAAAAAGATAACTGCAAGCCTTTACATTAGCTACCGGCACAGTAAACAGCTTTTGCCATGATGCAGGAAGAGAGCTCCCACTAGTGTTCCAACCTGAACAACAACACTGAGTACAGTCTCTGATCAGCAGAGTGCTGTCCAATGTGAATTTGCTCAGGTTTATGGCTCAAGAACCACTGAAATCAGTTTGAAAGCAATAGCTTAAACTGTTAAAAACTCTTTTGTGTTGCTTTAATTTTCCTTATTGTCACAATCGGGCTTGTAGAAGGAAATTATTCCTACAACCAAACACTAACAGAAAACCGATGGAAGTTTCTTTTATTCTGTTTGGAGTGCTCATTCTGTCAGTAGAGACCCACGTTACAGCACAAAAAGATGCAAAGGGTGAGATTTGCAAAACATCTCCTTTTATGTTACTATTGTTTGATGAAACAGATTGCTTGTTTGTATTTTTGCAGCACAAATTGGCACCAATTCTGCTAAAGATCTGTTTATTTAGACAACCCAAGCAAGTCATCAGCATGGAGGTCTGCATCTCTTTATGCAACTGCCAAACTCACCTTCTCCTCCAGAGTCCCTCAGCATGGTGTCAGCCACCACCACAATAGGCCTTCTGAGGACATGAGCCAGGACGAAGACGTGAAACTCCTCTAAGCTCTCGTAAACCGGCTCGTCAGAAGATTCAGCCCTAAAAACAGACAGATGTGTGTTTATGCTGTAACTGAAACAGATAAGCGGTTGATTTATTTAAAAAAATAAAACCTGTATTCATCTTAACATGTAAGCTACTGCTGAACAATCTATAGTTTTCAAAATTGCAATTTCAGATAATGTGATTGTCAAAACTGCAATTTTCCTGACTCAGGATCTGTTATGTCAACTTATTAAAACTGTTTTTTTGAGCCTCCATAAAACTTTGTTGGGGCTCAAAATGGCCAAGGAGCCCTGACAAATAGCCAAACACAACCACATAATAAAACCCTAAAATGGAAAGACTTGTTTATCGTGCCCACTCAGCCAGGAATGAAGGTGAAATAAGCTGCATAACCTGTTCACCCCAAATGCTCTATGATGCTGCCTGAAACTAGAAACTCTGAACCATCGTGTTCAGTTTCTAGAGAACTCAGTAGGCAAACTATGGATCTATATGACATTTGTTCAAAGGCTGGATATTCCCAGTACATCCTGGAATGTTATGCATGTGCTCCAACATTCCTCTTGGATGTTTTCCTCTCATCCAACAGGCACATTAGCAGTAGCTCAGGGCTAGCATTAGCAGTAGCTCAGCCCAGTGTTGTACTGCAGTTAGTTACCCTGTCTGATGTTTACATTGAAGTGAGTTGGGGCATGCAAATTTTAGGGGGTTTGTCTAAACAAGTCACAGCTCCCATCATATCTTGCTGCAGTTTATCAGCGACCTTTACAACATTGCTCATTTGCATAAGAAAGCAGGTGAGAGACTGTACATGCTTTTAGGTACATTCGACACCCCGAGCTTGCTGTATTCACATGTTTCATATGAGTAATATTTATAATGTTTTGAAATTCTAGGCCTGCTTTAATGTTTTGATGTCATTTCCTGTGGTGTTTGTAAATGTTATTGTCCATTATGAACATAGTGCTGAAGCTTGATTTGAAAAAAAAAATCACAAATCAAATAAAAATTTTATTTTCAGAAAGAAAAAAAGTACCTTCTCAGAGGCCTAGCGGTAGAGTGCCCGCCCTGGGACTGGGAGATTGGGGTTCAAATCCCAGTCGGATCATACCAAAGACTTTAAAAATGGGACCAAACGCCTCCCTGCTTCACACTCAGCTTTGAGGGGTTGGATTGGGAGTTAAACCACGAAATAGTTCTCGTGCACAGCCATAGCTGCAGCTCAATGCTCCCCACGGGGATGGGTCAAACACGGTGATGAATTTCACCAGTGTGTGACGACTAATGGAAACTTTAACACAACCTGTAACTGAATCGGTTTTACATTTCGAGTGAGTGTTCGTCACAGTGATGAACAGAATGACTGCATGAGGACAGACCTCTAATATCTGATCAGTTGGTTGGTCATGGAAAAACAAACAAGGCTGTGACTAAGTGCTGTGGGTTAACAGTCACCGCATTGTCCCGAGCCAGACCTTACCCGCCGGTGCCGTTGGTGCTGTAGTGGATTCTTGGCTCACTGGAGGCCAGTTTTAACAGTTCATTCCACTCTTTCTGCCACTCCTCCTCCGTGTACACCAGACCAGACTGAGGAGAGAAGAAGGACACACGTGCACTGGTTTGCCATTTAGAGGGATAGTGTCATATGTCACAAAAGCATGCACTGACGTTGTAGCGTCTGACCACAAGGCTGCATGCTGGCGACTGGCCCTAGAGCCTCTGCAAACTCATACAGCAGCAACAGCACCGCACACGGAAAAAGGATCCATTAATACACAGCCTGTGTATTATTTTTTCCAGAATTTAATCACCAGCAGCAGTCAGATATTCACATAATGTTTTCCATCGCAAACCACACTCCTTCACCCAGTGAGCAGTTCTGGTTTTAGTAATTTGACGAAGGACTGTTCAGAGGTGGCTGTTAAAGAACAAGCGAATTTTAAACAGCTACTCATGTGGCATCTCCTCTGTGGGCGTGTGCACGCCGTCTGCCGACACGTTACTAACAACATACTGGCAGTGCTGCAAAGCTCACTTTCATGGAGGATAAAACCAATCCTGAGCAGTAAAAAGGCTTTGTTTGTGTGGTCGAGTGTGGAGAATAGACTGCTCTGTGAGGACAGGTCAAAGAAAACAGCATCTATGGGTGGAGGTGGAGACAACACCACTCGTAACTGTAGAGTTAAACAATATCGATGAGTTTTAGTAGGTTGGCAGCATCTGATCACTGTATCAGTATTAGGGCTGGGCAATATGGCCTAAAATCAATATCACAATATATTTAGGATTTCACCTCGATAACAATAAATGAACGATAACTACAGGTATGTGCAGACACAAAAGTTGTCCACTAGATGGGGCTGTCGCACGTATTACGTTGAGTCACATTTTTACGGGATGGGACAGCTTCTTGAATGGACATGAATGTTGCCAACCTACAAACATCTTTTCTTTTTGTATTATCCAATTTATTGACATGGGAAAAATTATCTCGATAAGAGCCACAAATTTCGATAATACATTTTCGATTTATTGCCCAGCCCTAACCAGTATCAAATGAAATTGATTATTTGATGTACAACTGATCAATGTCTGGAGTCGTCAACGTAATTAAAGATGGCTGCCTGACAACAGTAATCAAAATTAGCACACAAAAAGACAACATAACATTTATAGTATGGTAACTTGTGCCTTAAATTGCCACTCGGGAACAAATAAGGTTTTCTGAATCTGAATGGCTCTGTCCAAATTCAGAGATCGTATTCTTCCGAGCACGGATTTTAACTCATTCACTGCCATTGACGACTAAAGTCATCTTTTTAAATCAAACCGTTCGCTGCCAATAACGACTAAAGTCATCATTTGCATTGTTTTATGGGCTCGACACACGGGAGGCGACAAACAACCGCAATCAGCGAAATTTGTCGCTGTCGCTTTTATTACCCGACACATGGGAGGTGACCCGCGGCAGCGGCCAGCGGCAAAGCCGTCGACACATTCTGTTCCATGGCGAAATCAAATCTTCCGTTGTTTTGTTTGGCTGTGTCAGGTTGGAGGGAATTAAGGTTATTTAAGCGGTTCAGTTTAAAAAAGCGGTAGATATGATGTTTCACAAGGTGCCGCTAGAGTTATACGAAATCTTACCCCCAAATTCCACTACCTCCGCTCCGCTCCGGTCCGCCCCCGCAGCCGCTCGCTTCCGAACTCAATTTTTACTGGTACCCGCTCTACAACGGCTCTGCTCCGGTGCGGAGACCTGAGGGGGGCAAACAAGCATGCGCGGGACTTTCGAGATCTTGCGATACAGTCCGAGCAATAAACGCGGAAGTTAGATCCAAACACCCGTTGTGTGGGAGAAGCATCGGCATGAGCTGTTTAATCAGCCTATCATTTGTGTTAAGAGATCAGCAGTGTATGAAATAAAACAAAGTGTGACTACTTTGATAGTAGAAACTGTATTTATGGCTTACTTTTGTGCATTTAAACTTCAGCCGCCATTGATAGTTGTTAAAAGTTGTTAAACCTGTGCATATGAAACAAAAACGCCTTTTGTTTATCGATTTATTGTGAAAAACGGAAATTGTGCTTGCTCCTTTTCCTGTTGGGCGGTTGTGATTTCTGTCCATTTACTGCAGAGGTGCTCCGGCGTCCGGCGAAAATAGGATCGATTCTATTTTTGCCGGACGCCGGAACAGAGGGCGGCGCATGGCGCCGCACTGCCGGAGCACGGCCGCAGTAGTGGAATTGCTCTGATTGACTACAACGGGACCGATTTTGCTCCGGCGTTCGTGTCGGAGCGGAGCGGAGGTAGTGGAATTTGGGGGTTACTTCTGATTTTACTATATATAAAAAAAAACAGAGAATGGGTTCATCCCATATTACAAACCAGAGAAAGAAACGGAGATGTACGGAGCATCCTGTCCGCTCATTGGTCAGTGAATGAAACCTCCGTTGATTGGTCCTCGTCTGAGCGACAGCGATGGAAAGTAGAAAATATTTCAACTTTCTGGGATCACGTTGCTGGGTTGCCTGTGCACGACACGTGCACGAGCGCAAAATTTCACACACGTTTTTTCGCGTTTCACTTAGTAGGAGGGGGACCCGCGATTATCGCTTTGTCGTGCATGTCTCATTGAAAATGAATGGAGGTGAGGTGATGTCGCCTCCTGTGTATCGAGCCCATTACTGTGTGGGCGTCGGAACGAGCCCTCGCACCGTAACAAAAAACACCCCAGCTTTAAAGTTGATCTTCACCTGCGTACGTCACACGTCACGTGATCATGAAGCAGAAAATCCATGTGTTAAATCGTTTTGGGCCGTTGCTGTAAAAAAAAGTGAGGTGCAAACCGGGAAAGCTTCTACTAATCACAATTCGACAACGGATTATAAAAGAACGGATAACGCTCGAAACGCACGGATTCTTCCTGATGCAAGGGGTGAGTCTACTAATTGTTTTGTTAGTTTTGGAGTTGACATCATCCTAGCACACAACATTCTGTGACTCTAAGGGCTTTTCTGATCTGGAAACGGATGGCAGTGAATGAGTTAAAGGGAGACTAGGCAGTTTTGGCTTGCTTTTAGCACCCCCTAGTGTCCGTTTAGTAGAACCGAAAGCAAAACTTATCTCCTTGCTTGCGTTAATCTTTTTAACACCTTAATCTAACTGCTGAAATGTCTCAGAATCCAGCCATTTTCCACCCCTCACTTCTTCAGCTAACTTCTGCTTCCTGAAACAGAAGCACCACAGCTTATTTTACCCAAATAACAACAAAGACCACAGCATGTGTATTGAAAAAACGAGTGAATGAGGGCTTGAAATATTTTCCTGCTGTAGTCTAACTGATGTGTCTTGTTTGCTGCAGAAAGGAAGTAAAGATCTGAAACTTGATCAGAAATAAACCAACCCGATCAGCTGGGGCAGATGTGACTGACCTCTTTGTTCTGCTGGGTCTGCTGCCACCTCCACCTGCGCTTCAGTGCTTCTCTCTCCAACCCATGATCCATCAGCGCGTACAGAGACTTCCGCAGCATCAGGTCACGATCATGGAAGCCCCACATTCCTGAATCAGGGTCAAAACACACAAAAACAGCTGATTCAGCACACCTAAAACATGATTACAATCTGAAGCTGTGCAGGCCGTGTTGTTCGTTTTAGCACATTTAAACTTATGTTTGTTCTTGTGTACTAAAATATAAAAATGAATCTTTAAACCAATAAAAGCATACCTGCAGGGTTAAGCCAGTGAACAGTGCAAGGTCTGAAATCATGCATGCTCATCAGTTTGAGCCTTGTTAATTTCCTAAAACTCCTACGAGGGCCATAATGAGTACGTTAACACGCACTGTAACCGTGCAATTAGCGTTTAAACCAACAAAGCAGCTCTATGAAAGCTAATGGGGTGTGAGCGTGCACGGCGTCTGTGCCATACTCACCGAGCGAGGCTGCGTGTAACAGACAGTTTCCATCCCCGCTCGTAGCCAGAGGCAGCAGACTCTGGCAGTTTGGGACAACTTTGGTCCACCAGTTCAGTCGTCCTGCAGGCAGAAGAACAAATCCTAAATCCCAGAATTTAACAAATAAGGACCAGGTGCTGAGTTAGAGCTAATTCTAGACAGCAAAAAAAGTCCTAAACTACAGATTATCATCTTTTAATTAAAGTCGGTGTTTATTTTAACAGGATTACAAAAACTAGCAAAGATCCACTGAGATCAGTTTGAATGAATATTTCATAGAGGAAACAAATCCAGTGTATAAAGCACTAATAAAAACAACATCACCTAAGTGCTGTACAACAGTGTAACAGTGTTCCTTTTGTTGATGAAATAATTTTGATTTTTCTTCTGTGACAAATTCATTTTGCAAATGAAAAAACGAAATCCTAAATTAGTACTTCTGCAAAAACTAAATTATGAAGAATATTAATAATAATATCGACAAATAAAAGGCGACAACAAAAATGGACAGTGACGAAAATCCAATCAGAAAAAGAAAAATATGGAAGAACAGAAAAAAGAACCAATCAGTAAATGGAACAGGCAGAAACAAGAACCAATCAGAGTCCAGAGCCAGCCGGTGTTTGAACTAGTTATCGGTAACCAACCAGACATACTATATATAGAAGTCTGTGCTGGTAAGAGTTGAACAATTTACGTCTAAAAGGAGAACATGTCCACGTCTGGGAGGAAAAGCGGTAGATGTTACCATCTGAAAAGTATTTGCTTGGCGAGCACACATCAAGGGATTCCCCTGGTTTTAACGGTGTTATGGCGGTAGCAGCAAGCGGAGGTGGGAGAGGAGTGGATTGCTGTAGCTGAATCGAACTGAACGGTGGTTTAATCACATTTTGTGGCGTCGCTAAAACCAATATGATCAACATTCGATGGTCTAGTAGGGATTTTGTGAAGAAAAAAAAAAAGGTTCAGGCAGCCCACCTTTTTAAATGAGTGCAGGAAATCTCAAATTAATACACCTGAAAACAATTCTCACCTTTAGTTTATGTCCTTGCATTATTAGAGTAACACCTTTTGTTTTGATGGTATGATGTCATTTCCTGTCATGTTACAAATATTACTGCACATCATACAGACTTTATACTGGCATAAAGGCACAATGTCAAACTGTCAGTGTGCATTTTGGTATTTTCCATTAATTACTGTTATTAAAACAATTATAAATAGAGTATTTTTTATCCAAAGTGTGAAATGTGAATTGTATTACTTTTGATTTAAGTAGGTGTAGTTAACCTTTCCTTTACCAAGGTTGAAAATGTCAGAAGAAGAAAAATACCCATGTTTTATTGATCTAAAAATAAAGGCAAATTGGACGACTAAATCATGACTAAAGTAAGAAAAATTTTTAGACTAAAGACTTTAACTAAATAAAAAAATATCTTGTTGAAATGAACACTGACAGGAACAATAAATTAAGCCTTTAAAAAGTTTAAATAAATGTTTGAAACACCTCTGAAAGTAAGGTGCTTCAGGTGGTAAATTAGATCTGGTTAAGTGAACAGGTCCAGGTGGGACGGTCTCCACAGAAAGGACACCTGGGTTAATTCTAGGGACATTTCTGCCAAACACTGAGCTTTATTCGGATAGTCGGACCATATTAGTACCAACTCAGAATTCTGAGTCATAACTCAGATCTAAACACACACATGAGCAAGAAGTTTGTCTTCTGACAAAGACCCCGTAGTGCTGCAATCACAGCTGTTAGGGCACTTCCTGTCAGAAGTCGACAGAAAAGATGAGCAGTAGATTCTTGACTATTCCGTTGCAGGTAACTGAAAACGTGCTGCAGGGAAAGTTTCTGTAGAGTTGCTGTAATGCGACCTAGGATATATTTGTACACACCCTTTTGATAAAATAAACCCCCTCTGGAGCACTTTCAGACGCATTAACAATTAGATCTAACAGCATTTTCAACCTGCCCCGAGTGCCTCGTACTTACAGCTGGACAGCATCAGACCATCTTGGATCCCCTCAGGATCCCAATCTTTAAGCACTGAACATTATAACAAACATGCTAGTGGCTTTAGTCTAAAGAAGCTATGAGTTTGCAAACATCTCAGTTAAGTACCATAAAAATATTCCATTATCTAAATGAGCCGGGACATTAATTCCTCCTTTTGCATTGATTATGGTCCGTCGCATTCAGGAGACCGTTTCTAGTTGGACTCTCACTGAGCAGGAAAGGTTGATATGTGGTCACTTTGCTAATATGTAATTAGTAGGGGCATAATGTTTCATGGGGATGTATTGAACCGTTTCAATTCGGCATGTTTGGTTCAGTCCACTTTCGTACAGTTTCTGTGTATTTTTTCATTAAATAAATGCATTTTTATTTGCGTGATTCAAGTGCAGTGGGAAAAAAGTTCCTAGTTTCCGCATGGACGCTGTACTAAGTGATGCATGATGGCTGAACAGTGGAGCTGCACGAGCACAATGAGGTAAATGCCATCATGGCAACAGCAAATGAGAATTTCAGAGCTCGAAGACCCTCCCAACCCACTATGGTCTCCTGTTTGGGAACACTTTGGCTTTACTGTTAAAATTAATAACGGTGATGGACAAGTAGATAAATTCAAAGTTGTATGCAGACATTGTTCCACGGAGATTGGGTATATGGCAGGTCGAATATGCTAACACACTTAAAGCTTCTTTCCAGAGTATTTCTCTGATCCAATGGCACCATCTAGTGGCTGACAAGCATATTACACAAAAAGTATTTCTCTGTTTTTTTTTTAAAGATCGCGACTTAACATTTCTGTTTATAAATGTGCTTCTGTAGCCGACAAACAGAGCTAAAACACGCTGTTTTACGAGTATTATTCTCATGTCATGTTTTTTTCTCATATATTTATATTTTAGAGACTTACTTGTTTGTGAAAAGTTCATCAACTCTGCATCAGCTGAGGTATTCCTTAAATTTGAAGCATCTAAGCAGTAGTCTAACATTATTGGTTAGTTCTGGTCAGCGCTCAGTTTCCTATTGCATGGAGCTCTGCGGGGCAGGGGGCGTGCTTAGCAAAAAATAAAAATAAAAATAGACGTATTGCTTACATAATACCACAGTACATGATGAGACAATCACTTTTACGGATTTCTGACAAATCATACATCAATTCTGAAAGGAGAAAACTCTGGAAAGCAGCTTTAAAACGGCAATGGCCGAATGTGAATATCACTTCTACTAAGAAGAAAAGCAACCTTGTGAAACTACCACTAATGTCAGCATTTAAACAAATGAGGTCCGTTTATGAAGAGCACACAAGCACAAGTCTGGTGGAGCACCTCAAGGAAACGGTGCATGAATGGAACCTGGAGAGGCTTGGGACTACAATTCCTGTTACTACAGACAATGCAACATCACAAATGCAGTACAAGAAGCAGGACTGGGCCCTCAGATTGGTGGGTTTGCTCACACCATCAACTTAGCTTCCCAAAAAGCAACAGCCATTAACCAGGTATCCAGATAATTGGACAAAGTCAGAAAGATTGTGACATTTATTCACACCCTCTGCCCTCATACTGGAGAGCAAGTAAGAAATGCTCAATGTTCCAAAGCATTCACTCATTCAGGAGGTTCCCACCCACCTAGTTGTGAGATGACACAACAGTACCTTGAACAGAAAGCAGCTCTAAGGAAAAAGCTCTCAAGATCAAAAGCATTTACGCAGTCAATAATGGGGAAGTGACCATGGCAGAGGAACTTATTGAAGTGCTCAAACCTCTGAAAACTATTACAACTCTGATGAGCACCGAAACACGGGCACCAGTGTCAATGATACTCCCACTGAAAAACCACTGTTCTCCACTCTGTGGCACCAAAACCAGAGGACCCTCCAACTGCCCTAGACCCCAGATTTAAAGCCCTGTCTTATGTGGACGATGATGGATATTCACTGATCTCACAACAGAAATAATCAGCACAGAAGAACAGGTATTGTATCTGATAAACTTTTTATTTTCAATGAAAATATGGATATACCTCCAATTGCAGACAGAGGACATCAACAAGATAAAAGCTGGAGCATCCTCATCTTCTGGGACATCCACCTCATCACCTCCAACTAAGAAGTCTGTAATGACTGAACTCTGGTGAACTTTTCCAGGGACAGGTGTAGGGATGGGTACCGAATTCGGTACTTTTTAAGGTACCGACCGAATTCCATAGCACCAACCGAGCACCGATTCACGTAATTTCAAATGGTGCCTCGTTTCGGTACCCGTCCATCATAACGAGAACTTGCCAAGACAGCTGCGCATGCGCAAGAGCGTTATGTCGTCGCTCGCTGCGAGCCAGTTGTAAACAGAGCAGCATGGTAGAAAGAACGCACGCTAAAGCTTGGGTCCACTTCACTAAATGTGGTGGGTAACTGGGTGATGATGAAACCAGCGACAACGATCTAAGTGAGACATCCTCATCTTAATCTGCTCCGGTAGGTAAATATAATTAACTTGATATGTTAGCTTCCGTTTCGCTAATGGTGCGTTCGCCTTCTCCTCGGAACTCCGAATTCCCAACTAGAAGAACATGAACGCGCTCTAAAGTTTGGCTTCACTTTACTAAATGTGACGGGTGAAGACAAAACCAGTGACAACGACCTAAGTGTGAGGCATCATCGTTTTAATCTGCTCCAGCAGCTAAATACACTGTTTAAGATAACGTTAGCTTGGTATGTTAGCTTCCTTTGCTACCATTGTTATCAGCTAATGGTGAGTTCGCTTTCTCCTCGGAAATTCTAACTTCCCAGTAGGAAAAATCAAATGAAAAAAGACGGCAAAAGGAATGAAGATACACAGTAAATTTAGTTCACAGTAAAGATGTTTGCTTCAGTTTAATTATCAGCTTATAAAACTACAAGGACGATGTTAAAATACAAACAGTTGAATGTTATTTATCGTGATATATATCAAATATTGTTATATATTGAGAAAAATATATATTTAATTATAAAAGAGAATTAAAATAATAAACACTCAAAAGTATCGAAAATTGGTACCGTTAAGTACCAGTATCGATTCGTAGGTACCGGAAATTAGTACCGGATCGATTCAAATGTCAAAGGTACCTAACCCTAGAGGTGGGAAGTAGTAAGGAACCACTTTTGAAGCAGGACCAAGAAGAAATCAGAACTTCAGGGCGCCTTTCCTTTGAAGCTGACCCAATTTTGTGGTGCAGAAGTAATGAGGCCTCATACCCACACATTGCAAAACTACCAAAGCGCTGCCTCTCTATTCCAGCTACTGTACCTCTGTTCCAAGTGAAAGGCTGATCTCTAATGCTGGAGATACCGTCACTGCAACCAGATCTATGCTCTCTTCCAGTGTTGGGAGTAACACGGTATAAAAGTAATTAATTACTGTAACACATTGCTTTTTGCTGTAATGTGGTAATGTAAGGCATTACAAAGAAAGAAAATGGTAATATGTACTCGGTACAGTTGTCAGTAACGCAGTAATTTCAAGATGCGTTAAATTGCTAGAAGCCTGAAAAAAGATCCAGTATCTGCATATATTACGTCATTTATGGACTCAGCTTTGCGGGCAGAGAGGACGCAGCGGTAACGGCTCAAATACTCCAGCTGCGTCCTGCACTCGGCCGTTGTAACATTCACAAAATTGCTCCACTCAAACAAAATAATCCACTTGCGATCGTTCATATCAGTCCATATTCTCTGGTATTTCTGTACTTTTCTGATGTGTTTTGCTTCAGCTGAGTTCATATTCTGTGCCCCGGTGATTTCAACTCATTGCTGCTGGAGCGCCGCCCATGTGTTATAAAGTAGGAAATCTAGGAAACTGTTTTTCTGGAAGACTGAGAAAAGATGCAGCATGCAGGAAGGTTAGAGAGAAAGGGCAGGAAATTATTCAAATAAAATCAAGAAATCAAAAGAAAGTCCTTGAAAAGGTAGTTATCCCCAATACACATTTTACCTGTGAAAAGCTTTTAATATTTATACATGTGATAGAATCAGATTATCCTCAAAAGTCAGTACCACATCCAGAGCCGTATCAAGGCGTTTGGGGACCAAGGCTAAATAGGCTTGGGGCCCCCACCACCTCACTTTCTGCTCAGTTAATCTAAGATGGCAGCATGCTGGGTGTACAGTTTGTTGTTGCTTCTATCCTTCTAAAGAACTGTTTTTAACAGCAGTCCTAGCTCAGACACCACATCACCTTCCACCGGATGTGTCGAGTTCACCGGGCATCAGATTACCAAATTCATACTGAAGTTGTTTTGTTAAAAGTAACTTAGAGTAATGCAAAAGTTGTGTAATGTCCTACATTTTAAAATAAGTAATCTTGTAATGTAATGGATTACTTTAAAATGAGGGTAACAATTCATAAATAATGCATTACAGTATTGAAGTAACTTGCCCAACACTGATCTCTTCAGAAAATGTGGATAGGCTTTTCTTTTTAGCCAAAAACTTTAAACTTGAATAGTTTATTGATGTTCAAGCTGAAGCTGTTTGTGCTGAGTGTTAAAAGTTTTCAGGTCCTAACTAGTAGTTACAGCATTTTATTATTATTATTAATAAAATGTTACAAATGTATTTCATTATAAAGAGGGCAATTTATTTAAGATATCACCTAAATGGATCGTTTTAATTCACTTTATGCAAAAATTCTTGAATTGGTTGCTTTTCAAAATAAAGATTCTGTAAATTCTTATTTTTTGTGCCAAAAATTTATCAAACTGAGCTAGGGTTGTCACGGTATGAAAATGTAACCTCACGGTTATTGTGACCAAAATTATCACGGTTTTCGGTATTATCGCGGTATTTTTTAAACGGTGTTACATATGTTCAGAAAGCATTGATAGTCCTGTTCTACACAAACTGAAATAGTTCTGAAAAGGTTTAACAGTGTTTATTAAACCTAAAATAACACAAAGCCTTAGCAAAAGTGCAACTTTTCACAAGTAAAGGAACAAACAGCTTCTTCTGGAACATGTTACAGTAGTCAGTGCAGGTGTAAATTATACAAATCCAAACATTCAAAACATAAACAATATGTAAACAAATCAAAGAAACACCACTTGTTTTCTCATATACTTGTTTTCTTCATTATCAAAATGAAAATCTAAAACTCCAGTCCACACTTGACTTGAGCTCTGTACAAGTCAACCTTAAAAAAGATGTATTTAAAATAAATAGCCACTTTAAACAAATTACTAAAATAACTACTACACTATGTAATCAAATCCAAATGTTCAAGTATAAATGGCATTGAATAAGTAAACAAATCAATGACAAGGAACTAATTGTATATTTCTCTTCATCATCAACAAATAAGATGCTTCATCCAGCAACAGGGTGTCCGTGACACGGTTTAAATGCTGGCAGAGGACGCTGCGGCTGCAGTATATAGTGACTCGTTGCATTCTCCCTCAACCAAAAGTCCTCACATCATGCATTTAAGCTAAAATGCTAATGTTAACTTACCTTGCACCGGCTGTAGAGACGTGGGTGATCGTCACGCAGATGTGCCATTAGATTCGAAGTGTTGCTGCCTTCTGCAGACACTTGTTTCCTGCACGTTCTGCAAACGGGATAGCCGTCTTCTATTAACTGTCCCTCAGCATTTTTCAGAAATCCCAAATATGCCCATACTTCCGATTTAGTCTTCTTTGAGGGCTGATGGATGTCCTGGGCGCTGCCGTCTCCTCCTTCGGCCATTATTTCAGCTTCAAAGTTTTGGTGCCGTTGCAAACTAAAAAGTGCGTGTGCGCGCCGCGGGAACTTCAGCTGAAGCGACGGTGGCTGGTAAGGGTCACCGCGCCGAAACCGCGGCCACGGTAAACCCACCGAGATAATATAGTTTTTTAAAAACTGGACGGTTATTTTTATTGTCAACCTTTTTACCGGGGTTTACCGCTATACCGGTTACCGTGACAACCCTAAACTGAGCCCTTCAAAACACTGAACCGAACATGATTTTGGCGTACCGTTACACCCCTAGTAATTAGGACATTTAAGTCATTTTGAGTCAGTTATTTAAGAGCCACACCCACAGATCACCCAAAGTGGGCGGAGTCTCAAAAAACAGGAAGAAGTCCTCTGACCGAACCAGTGCTTGTAGGTATCCAGGTTGATTCCTACTACTTACTTAAAACAACTATTGTTAAAATATCACTTAAAATAACCAAAACATCAGATTAATAGTAATGGAGAGTTTTTCTCACCAGCATTCTCCAAGGCCACCATCATGGACTGCTCTATCAGGTCCCTCTCAATGAAGCTCCTGAAGTCCTCGCGATACACGGTGAGGTCTGGTAGTTGGAAAGTGCACAAGGGTGTGTCCAGGAGCGGCTCGTTGCTGCTTCCGCCTGTGCTGGAGACGTGAGAGCGGGCCAGAGAGACGATGGTTGAACTGGCATGAGAGATGCCCCTGGACAGCCGCTTCTCTGTGGCTGCTGGGAAACAACAGGAGGCAGTTTTAAAGCAAATGCTGGAAACACATTTCAAACAAACTCTTATGATGATGAAATTGCACTTTCATTTGTTATTATTTAATCATTCAAGTTAATTTAGAGGCTACAGCTTTATCCAGGCATCTCTGCAGAATGCAGAAAAGGAACCCAGCAGCTTTTATAAAAAATTGCCATATACCAACATAAACTGGTCTGATGTATTAAAACTGGGTTTTAATGGTGCAGCATTTGGCGTAGAATAATCTAGTCCAGGTTTGAAGAGTCTAGGTAGTCTTGGGCCAGTTCAAATGTGATCAGACGCCAAAAACGCTATGAAAGCACTCCTTTAAGGCACACTAAGTACCCTTTTCATATTTTAAATCATTTTCTTGAGCTAACAGGGGCTAAAATGACCCTTTATAGAGCCATCACAGCTCCTTGTGGGCAGAATGTTGCTTTTACTTTCCCTGTGTTCGTAATTGTGTCTAAATATGTTTGTAAGTGGTCGCATCCTGCTCATCCCCAATCATCCACCCACATTAGCTCTCCTCTCACCTGTCAAACACTCTAAATTTGATGCTTTTTCTCATCCCTGTCTGAGCTCCGTGTATCCTTGCAGAGTCTCGACACCGTCATCACTACTTGGAACAATGGTCGAACCATCCTTTACCGACGCTCTACAGCTTTTCCCCGTGGTCACGATTTATCCTCTCAGGATCTTTCATCAGTGTTGGCCATATTATTTACCAGGAACTATGTTAGTCGATGGTAAAGTGGCTCCTCAGCCTTCACCAGTTTCTACAGGAGTGGTTTTCACTAATTCAAACAAATCAGCTGTGTTCAAAATCTAAAACATGCAAGAACTGTGTGCTGGAAGCGCACTCCAGTGCTAGCATAAGACTAGTTTAAAGACAAGTATACGTAGACACCTCATTACATGCTGGATCACTCTCCAGTGTGTAATGTGTAATGTCGTATGCTAGCGCTGGAGCCCTAACCCTAACCTTGGAATTGCCCTTTAGCTATTTTATAAGTTGGAAAAATGGCTAAATCTAAAGAAGAGGAATTCCAACAAATTTTTGCCCTACTTCTAAAACTAAAATATTTCCATCTATCCATCCATTTTCAGCCGCTTATCTGGAGTCGGGTTGCGGGGGCAGCAGCATAAACCGAGACACCCAGACTTCCCTCTCCCCAGATACTTGGGCCAGCTCTTCCAGGGGAATCCCAAGGCGTTCCCTGGCCGGTCAAGAGATATAGTCCCTACAGTGTGTCCTGGGTCTTCCCTTGGGTCTCGTCCCAGCTGGACATGCCCGGAAAACTTCACCAGGGAGGCGTCTAGGAGGCATCCTAACCAGATGCCCGAGCCACTTCAACTGGCTGCTCTCAACGTGGAGGAGCAGCAGATCTACTACGAGCCCCTCCTGAATGATGGATCTTCTTACTCTATCTCTAAGGGAGAGCCCAGCCACCCTGCGGAGAAAACTAATTTCGGCCGCTTGTTTCCGCGATCTCGTTCTTTCAGTCACTACAACTACAATATTTAAACACATAAAAACAGTGAGAAAAAAACTAAACAAAGCAACTATGATAGCCTATTAAATATATTGTGTTTCATAATTATGTTTTTGACAACAACTGGCATCAACAAAGAGAATAAACACTGAGGTACTTTAACTACGAAAGAAAGAGCGATGCCTTTACATCCGAAAAGCAACAGCCACTTTCCTATGAGGCATGGCCTGACGTAACCCTAATTCACGACACCCTGTCTTGTTTTTTGCCGACAGGTGAACTTGAATAAACAACACTTTGAAAGTAGAAATGAACCCTCCCCCTCCGTGCTGGCCTCACCTTGCACCACCTCGTCCTGGCGGTGGAGCACAGGGCGCCCCACCCTGGCCATCTCTTTTTCAGGAGCCTGATATGTTCGCTCTTCTGGGAATGAATATGTCAGGTTGCCTGCGTGCACCTGTCGCAGCTGCTCAAAGTCACTAAGTGCAGCAGTAAAATCCCAGTTCTTGCCTGTAGAGAGAAGAGGAAAAGGAGAAAACATCTGTCCAAGTTGACCAGACCAACATGACGGCCAGGATCTGCTTTTGATGTCATGCAAATGATGAGTTTAAATATTTATCACAAGTCAAAGAACCACGGAGCATCTTATCTCATGCAAAGGCCAGTGGCAAATTCAATCACTTGGTAAATATGTTTGCAACTGCATTGCATTTTCTGCCTGTTGCATCTGCAACTCGAACTGCTGCTAGGCAACAGAATCTCCGTTCGCTCCTACCTATAACTCCCTATAGTACTTTAGTCTAAAGTAACAGTAACAAGAAGCCGGGGTGGATACCGCTGCCTGGATTCCATCAGGTGTGAGAGAAACGAAGGGATTCAAAATTAAATCTGACTGATTATATTTCATGATCTCTAACTTTCTGCAGGGTAAACATGTGTCGCTGCTCCAAGTCTGCATGGCTGTGGAGGTTTTACTGCTCTCTGACTCACCTTCCAGCAGATCTCTGGCCAATCCTGGTTCAGCTCCAGTTGAACGGACAAAGTCGGACAGGACTGCGTCCATGTCCACGGTCATGTGATCATGAACTCACAAGTTATCTTCTTGCATCCGGGCATTAATTTTTTTATTTTTATAAATATATAGAAAAACTATCACAAACTCTGGTCCCCAGGACTAGAGAGCAGGAGAGGAGGTAGAGCCGTCCTCTGAGGAACTACTTGACCAGCCACACCTGAAAAAGACAGGAAATGGACAAAGGTAAGAAGACTGACCGAAGCTAAAGAGTGAACATAAAAACCTTAAATCAAGCACTTTGTCCCCAGGTAGAGTGGAAAAAATATTAAAAATCAAATTTAAATGTGTCAATTTACACAAACATTAATTAAATCAAAATGAAAACAGATAAACATGAATGATGCAATTACGACTGACACAGAAGAGAGACGGCATAAGCGATTACGTCAACTAAAACTAAATCATCCTTGTAGATTTTTATTTTTGATGCATCATCAATAGAATGTTCACTAGACAGCTGCTGACATGAACATATGGATCCTTTTACTGTTTGCCAAGGCTGCACTCGCCCCCTACAGCTAAATCTGCGTGTGGGGGAGGAGGATAAACCCAAACGTAGGTGCAACAGTGAATCAGACGGAGAAGGTTGACTTGAGCAGGTAAGATAAGACCTGACCTGGACCCACAGGAAGCAGATATCCACTGAATTATTTGTTTAATAATAAAAAAGAAAATTAAAATCTAAATCATCCTTTGCAGCCATTTAAGTGGAAGAAGTACAGCTGATGGAGAATGAGAGATGATTATGAGTCATTTCCTGACTTTCCTCATTTCTATGAAACCTTCTGAAGTTCATAAAAAAACAAGAAAATAAAAGCCAACAAAGCTGCCAGGATCAATGCTCATGACTAATTTAAAGTCTGAATCAACCAGTGCTTTTTCTTGCTATCAGGTGTCACCTGTCAAACTTAACCAGATTATAAGAGCCTGTATAAAACCCAAGCAGGTGTCCAAGACACCATAGTTTTTACTGGAATGTGCTGCAAACAGCTAAGAACATGTCGCATGTTTATCTAGATGATGTTGGCACATTTACACTGAATCTTTCTGCCATTTCTTCATGCTATTGTGAATATAGATGATAAGGAAACTAGTTTTAGGCTGTGTCATACGAGAAGGACACCAGTAATCCCGTCAATAGGCTGCTCTGAAATCGATTAGTTTGTTCCGCTCCTCAGATTTCAGCATCAGTTCAAAGGGGACTGGGGGTTGCATCAGTCGGCCGTGGAAATCAATGTGAAGGCATTATCAAGGCTGAAGGAAAACGAGAGTCAGCATCAATGGGATGTTGACAAAGAGGATGCAGAGGGCAATCGATGCATTGGGCGGACAGAAGGCCCGAGTCACACAGCCCAGAGTCAGAGGATGTACGGTTAGGGACAAACAACCAAAAAACAACAACATTAAATTCTGTGTAAACAGGTGTCTGTCAGGGCCAGAGTTCACAAGAGACAGCTCAAAGAGGAGAAACATGTTTAAAGAGTCCGTGACCCTTAGTGTTAGCAGCAAGACATGCAGAGGTGTTTCTAGGGCCAATTTATGTTTATGTATTTAGCAGACGCTTTGGTTCAAAGCCACTTACAGGTGATAATCAAGCCAGCAGGTTGCCCTTGAGGTTAACAAACACTATTCAGTCAATCCTAGGTGGCAGTGAGGCAGCATAAGCAATCATAAAGGGAAGAAAACATGGAGTGTACAGTAGAGTGGGGGACGGGTGTTGGGAGGATGCTAGTTTAGAAGATGCTCTCTGAAGAGCTTGGGTTAGCTTGACTTTCTTGCAAATCGACAAGGAAGCCCCTGTTCTAGTAGTGCTTGGTAACTCATTCCACATCTGTGGAACGATACATGAAAAGAGGATTGTCCCGACCGTGGTGTAGGCACAGCTAGCCGACGATCCTTCGATGACCGGAGCGGCCGGGCCGTGACGTAAATCTTTGTAAGAAGATTCAGGTAGATGGGAGCTGTACCATCCAGGACTTTGGATGCTAGTGTTAGCGATTTCAATTTGATGTGTGCAGCTAGCAGTAGCCTATGGAGCTCAATGAATAGAGGGGTGACATGTGCTCTTTTGGAATGACTGAAGACCAGACACGCCGCTGCATTCTGGACCATTTGAAGAGGTCTCACAGTAAAAGCTGGAAGACCAGGTAGAAGGGCATTTGTTTATTTGTTTATTTAAGGATCCCCATTAGTCTTCACAATAGTGAAAACTATTCTTCCTGGGGTCCACTTGATAAAAGAAACAAAAACAAAAAGAAAACACTTACAATATCACATGGACACTGTAGGATTAATAGTACAATATTTCATATACAATGTAAGAAAAACACAACAAACTCCTATAATCAACCTCATAAAACAAAATCATAAAAAAGCACTAAAAAGTCTATTTAAAAATGGATCAATGAATCAATAAGACAATAACAATAACAAAGTGTTAATGTCACGGTGTTAATTCTATAATCTAATTGAAGTCTATAAATCTAAAACCTATTAATCTAATTGAAATAGCTGTAACTGTTGTCTGATATAAGCTTATGTTTTAAAAATTTCTTGAGATTCACTTTAAACGCATCATGAACATTTATTGTTATTAGTTCAGGAGGCAGGATATTCCAGCATGTGACTGCTCTGTAAATGACTGTTTTTTTAAGTGCATTGGCTCTTGGCAATGGAAGAGTAAAGATAAAATGAGAGGAATTCCTTGTGTTAAAACCGTGCCGCTCACAGGTTGGTAACAACTTTGTAAACAAGCTAAAAGGTTTATGTAAAACCCAGATTTTGTGTAACGACACAACCAGGCTGCAGGCTAGTCTGTCATTTACACTCATCCATGACAGACTAAAATACTTCCAGTGGATATTAGTTTTAAAAGGGCAACCAAGAACCAACCTCGCAGCTCTGTTCTGAGCTCTCTGAAGTTTGTCAAGGTCTGTCTAAGCTGCGCTGGACCAAACAACTGAACAGTAATCCAGACGACACAAACCAGAGACTGTATAACAAGTTTTCTGGTCTCCAGTAACATATAATAAGCATTGCTCCTAATTACATAAATGCTCCTACTAATTCTCTTTACAATATTATCATCATGTGTAGTCCATGACATTGATTGATCCAATGTTATGCCCAGTAGTTTGGCCTCTTTTGCTTGTTCAATTTGTTGTCCCTGTAAATAAATGTCTAACTGGTGTTTTTTTCTTACCAAATTACTAGAGCCTAATAGCATACACTTGGCTCAATTTTAGCTTATTTCCCTCTACCCACTCAGAGATAGACTAACTCCTGTTGAAGCATAACATTGACCTGAACTAAACTTCAAGCTGAAACAGATATGGTTGTATCATCTGCATATACAGTCATGTGCACTTCACTGCATGCAAAAGACATATCATTTACAAATATACTGTATAATAAAGGACCCAAGCAACTCCCTTGGAGAATCCCACACAAAAGAGTGCCAGTGTTTGACAGACTACCATTAAATATAACACATTGTTTTCTATTATTCAAGTAGCTACTCATAAAATTGATAGCAGTCTTGTTAAAACATATGCTGATAGTTTCAAAAGTCAAATTTCATGATCCACAATATCAAATGCAGCACTAAAATCCAGAAGCACTACTCCCACCAGCAGCTTCCTATCAATCTGTCCCAACCATTCATCAGTAAGAGTAGTCAGTGCCATACTGGTAGAAAATCCTTCTCTGTAAGCATGTTGAACATCAGAGTAAATGCCATTCACACTAAAATAATGTTGAATCTGTTTAAACATCACTCCCTCCATCAATTTTCCCAGAACTGGTAAGATACTGATCAGCATTGCAGTAGTCGAGGTGGGAGATGACAGTAGATTGCACCAGGAGTTGGGTGCCATATTGTTTTAGGTACGGTCTGATCTTTCATATGTTATACAGCGCAAAGCGGCATGAACGAGCGACAGGGGCAACGTGATCTTTAAAGGTCAGCTGGTCATCAATCACAACACCCATGTTTCAAACTGCCTTTGAAGGAGCCAGAGATGGGGAATCATTTTGGATTGAGATATTGTGCCGTATGGATGGTTTCGTTGGGATGACAAGTAATTCAGTTTTAGATTTATGAACATCAGGGCCTATTTTTACATGCAAGGCTTCCAAAACAATGTTGATAGGTCAGCTTCGATTTGTTTGGTCTAAAACTGGAGACTAGTAAACCATGATAACTTAATGTGAAATCATCTCTGATGAGACAGGCAATGAACTCTAATGGAAGAACAGGAAACATCTGCCTATTAGAACTTAAAGGCGCACTTGGCAATTTTGCTTGCTTTTAGCACCCACTAGTGTCCACTATTAATCATCTATGATCAAAGCAAAAGTGAAACTTATCTCCTCGCTGTGTGTTCATCTTTTTAACGCCTTTATCTAACTGCTGAAATGTCTTCTCAGCCTTCAATAGTTTCTACATGAGCAGTTGATCACTAAATCAAACAAATCAGCTGTGATCACAATCTAAAATATGCAGGAAATGTGCTGGAAGCAGACTGCAGCGCCAGGTATGTAAGCAGAAGTGCAAAGGTGGCGACCCGGTGCTCTGAAGTGGAAAGTGTGGTATTTTGGCCACAGAGGGTGGTGGGGGTTTGAGTGACATTTCATTAGCCCTGTAAAGGGTCATTCTAGCAGATACTGGCTTCAGAAAATGATTAAAAAATATGAAAAAATTGCAAAGTATCCCGTTAACATTTGTTGAGTTGGTGAGTTTATTTATTTTTTTGTCATTGAACTTGAAAAGAAAATAATTGGGATTTATGAATTTGTTCTCTACTGTCCAGATGCCCCCTGTTGTTTTAGGTTTTCCATTAATAGCTCACGACAAATTAATCATTATACACTTTCATGTAGTCATTTAAACAGTGAAACGCAGAAAGTGTTGATTGAAATTTTAGGCCTGGAGCCAAGTCTAAAAAACCTGTAAATACTTGATGTTATTTTAAATTTCAAAACATTTCTTCTCCGAGGCATCAAAAAAGTACAACATTCTCTAAGTTCCTCTTCCTGCCGTCTTAAACACCTGTTCATTTACTGTAAAAAAACAACCTAAAAACAACATGAATATATTTCATAACAATAATAGTTAAGGTATTCTAAATTTCCTAATTGCATCCTAACAACTTTGTT